ACTATAGCGTGGTAGTTGTCAAAGGTCAAAGAGGACTCAGAACCCCCTAAAACACGTCTGTGGCTCCACCACCAGTACTACACATGTCAGTATTCGAGCCTAAAGTAGTCCTCAACCTCCTCAAAAACTCGGCGGCCGTCTCGCCTATCGATAAAAATGCCTTTGAGAAAAGCTGGACTGTAAACGTAAGTTTTTCTTTTGGCTCAGAGACGTCATCATTGACTCGTCGAATGACGATTAAACACAGGTTGAAAAACGAGTCAGCATATGGAAAGAGTCCCGTAACCATAAGAACCACCCATGTCCAGAGTTTCAGTTGAGGTGGGAGGCCGAGGTCGTCGAATACGTGCAGTGCCTATGGGAGAAGAGTCGACCTCGATCAAAGAAAATCGAGCCTACACATAAGTTAGGCCTCAATATCCCATTGCTCGGGCCTCGATTCGTGCCCCCGTCTTACATACATATTCAAAAGCGCTCGGGACTCGGACATCAAGACATCGAGCCAGTAACACAGTACATCAAACCCTTCAATGTCATTCACCCGTTCTACTACCCACAGCTTGCCACCTGTCCTCGATGCGGCTCTGACAAGGAGACCACCTGGGAAGGGTGGACAAGCATGGGGCCGCGTGAACTCCACGGTCTTATCTGCGAAGAGACAGCACTCGGCGCCCAACTCCGATGCAATACATGCAAGGAATCAACAAAGATGAAGAAGGCAACCGACAAGAACATACCTGGAGATGTCGAAGATGTCCAAGCGCATCAACCAGCCAACTTGGAGGCTACTGTTTTTGCAATGACGAGCGCTGCATACTGGAGTTCATGGGAGCACTGGGGATTCCTCGTGAGTTTCGTGCATTAGATGTCTGGAGCATCCACTCACCAAACAAACAAAAGGCAAATCCCATCTTTTTATATCGCTGTGCCCTAACACGTGATCTCTTCGATTTGCTGGTGGAGATGCGCCCGTCAACAACCTCTGCAGGGCTGGAAGAAAAGAGTCAGACGTGAGTGCATGCAGTCTTTCTTTTTAGAAAGACACTTTACCATATTCGGTGTGCCGCAAAGAGCTCCACCTGTTGGAACACAAGCGGCGAATGCTTGAATACCTTGAAGTATTTCAGATACAGCCCACCTGCAATGCAAATAGCAGACTTACCGACTATTTCTCTGGTAGTAAGAGCGCTGTGAAGACACTCCAGGCATTCTCGAGCGCCAGCGACCCGCTTGCATATGCTGACAAATCGATTTCGGGTGAGATTATCACAGAAGTCTTCCTAGACTTCTGCGCAGCCACAAGGCAAAAGGAGAGTGGAGCATACCTGAAGACTTTATCAGGTTAGTTTACAGAAAGACTCGTGTGACCAAAACCTTTAATTCTCCAACCTGGCAGCCATATGGCTCACTCGACAACACGTTCAAAGCAGCAAGTAAGGCCACACTTACCGACAAGGATCGCCAGAAGTCTAGGGAGCTGAAAGGCGGGATATTGAGTGTTTTGAATGAGGACAATCAGATCATTTCATGGGTAAGTTTTGACAATGACTCACCTAAGCTTTTCACTGACATATTCGTTCCATATGTAGCGCTTTTGCCAGACGCGCACGAACACAGAGATAACTGAACTCCTTCAAGGTCTTAAGCACCGCCACGACATTCTAAACGTCCCCCAGCCAAAGATGATGGTCGCCGATAATTGCTGCCAAGTTCGAAATGCAGTGGACCTCTGCAATGCCGGAGACGGATTCAAAACTTGGATGTTTGGCACTTTAGTGCGCAAGGTGAATGCCATGCATCTACTTTTACTTAGTTTCTACTTACTCAATGTGCACTTGAAGATACATCGCTGTCATGCTCCAATCGAGCAAAAGTCCTTATCGAGGCGCTGTCGCTGCTGACATCACAGGCGCCATTCTCAAGACACATGCCGAGAAGGTCAGCCTGCGCAATACTGGGATCCCGAGCAGAGCAGGAACGGAGGCTTATGGTGGCATTCAGCAAATTGGGCAGACAAAGGTGTTTGGTCAGCTGCAGCGCAGAGAAAGTAAGTTTCATTTTTCGCTAAGTACCACTGTAATCGATCGCTACTGACAATAATGACTCAGGTCACCAGAACAGTTTGAAACATGTCCGCAAGGGTGCCTTGAGCGCAAGCGTCATCCAAAGGCATTCAGAGGCTTGATGGGTAAGTCGCATTGAGGATCCACCAAAGGGTGGAATTTCCCTTCAAGCGAGCCACCAGGCCAAGCGGTCGCTTTGTGACGAATGACTCAATGCCCTCGGCCATGATTTTGTCCTCCATTCGCAACGTGCGAGTGGCTTCAGCAGGCACAGAACTCATTGGCCATTTCCTCAGTTCGCCAACGGTTTCACATCACCTCCGACTCTGTGACTACATAGAGAGGTCTCACAACACGCTCCAGCAAAAAACTACTGACTCTCAGCTGCAGCTTCTTCCTGAGCTTGGTGACATCGACTCAGGCGAGACTTTTGGGTTAGTTCTGTCAGATCATTGTAGCGACATCGGTGTCTTTGATCAAGGAGGAGAACATTGAGAAGGCCTCCTTGACTCCTTTGATTTGTCTGTTGACCCCACCAACAGGTGAGGAAGTCGACCTTTGCGTTTCTTGCCAGTTGGAATGTCATCATCAACGAGTGGCAAATTGACCCCGCCCTTCTTATGCTCCCAGCTGAAACTTCAAGACCAATGGTAAGTAACAACACTCCATTCAACCCCCCCATATCTCATTTTTTTCGTGCAGAAACCTCCAGCACCAAAGGAGAAAGGCTGTCTGCATCTTGTTGGACTCGGACGATGAAGGGAATGCCAGCAGCTGGCACCATCAAAAAACTATGAACCTTAGCATTGCCCAGCACAGAAGTTCCTAGCATGGCCCCAGGGTACTGGACGACTCGATTGCGTAACTTTCCTTCTGTGCAAGACCTCAATGGTGCCAGCACACGAAAGCTTCCTCCCGAATTCTCACAGGATCGCCTAGTGTGTTGCCAGCACTGCTATCACACCCGACCAACACTACACACACAAACTTCCTCTCGAATTCTCACAGGATTGCCAGGTGATTCCTGGGGCTACCACAGAGGTATGTCCCATCACACCCGACCAACGTTACACACGCAAACTTCCTCCTAATTCTCACAGGATTGCCCCAGCGCTGGCATCAGCAACACAATTACCCCCAGTGCTTGGAGTCACCAGCGATCGCCAGTGATTCCTGGGGCTACTGCAGAGGTATGTGCAATCACACCCGACCAACGTTACACGCGAAAACTTCCTCCTGAATTCTCACAGGATTGCCCCAGCGCTGGCATTAGCAACGCAATTACCCCCAGTGCTGGAGTCACCAGCGATCGCCCAGTGATTCCTGGGGGCTACTGCAAAGGTATGTGCAATCACACCCGACCAACGCTACACGCGAAAAACTTCCTCCCGAATTCTTCACAGGATTGCCCAGTGCTTGGCAGCACTGGCATCAATAACTTGATGGCTATCGTGGCAGGCCAGACCCGGTCTCAGTGCCTGTTCTCCATTTCCATGGGTATTGATCCTCGCTCACTCACCTTCCAAAATTCGGACGAGTTCTACTTATTTATGGAAATGCAGGCTGAGTTCAAATGGCTGTCATATCAAATGACTTCGAAGCGCTGGGTGCTGGCGACAGAAGAGTACAACCGCCATCTCATCAAGAAAAAGGGCCAGTCAGTCAGTCCAGAAGAACCCACAAGCCCTCCTACAGTGCGCTGGGTGACATCGAGCCGAAGCTGATGAGCAAAATCACCAAGAATGACTATACCTGTGAGTCCGTTTGCAAACACCATCTCTCAACTACTTTTCTGACATTGGGGTAAACAGCATGCAAAAACAGCGAGTCATTTTGGCGCTGTCATTGTTCCGTGTCCCACTTGTGAAGGGGGAACCAGGCAGAAAGGTCAGTCACTTGTGTCTGGTCGTTTGCACATTGTTCGCGCTGACCCATCAACCATCATTTTATTTCCAAGGCTCGAAAGGCACAGACATGCTCCCGCTGTCAAACAATTATGTATCCAGGACCCGAGAACTTGCCCCTCAACCACAAGAAGGGGTATTGCGCAGATGGTGTCAAGCAGTCCTCCAAGGCTGCCGGCGAGGAACTGCCTCCCTGGCCTCAGCCACGAGGAATCTTCTCTGAGGGCCGAACATTCCACCCTCACGTGTTCCTGTCGATGGTCCAGCACGTCTACGAGCACGTCTTCATGCAGGGACCAGGAGAGATGGACCTGCTCGAGACTGAAGCATTTTCGAAGCTGCTGATTTCGCGCACCGAGGTTCACGAGTCGGATAACATGGTGCTTTTTCGACTGTTCAAGGGTTTTGTCACTGACCCAACCACTCCCCGCAACCGGATTGTCTCTCGCAACGGTGAGGAATGGCTGAGGATTAACTACCTGCAGCAGTAAAGTTTTTTTTTCGGTGAGTCACGCACAGATCTCTTGTCTCTCACCGGTTACCCTATTTTGACTGGCTCCCCTCCCAGCTCCCAATTCTCGCACTAACGAATTCCAAATATCCCCCCGTTTAATTACCCGCTTCCATTTGTCCCATTCGTTCGATCCGTTCGATCCGTTCGTCCATTTTGTTTGTTTGTTCTGATCTGTTTGTTCTGATCTGTTTGTTCCGTTTGGTGTCCGTTCGTTCTGTCCATTCCGTTTGTCCCCACACAATGCCATTGTGGTCTCGTTTGTTCGTCGACTCACCGTGTTCCTTATTCGTGCAGCAGGCCCACTCACAACTTAAGATATTGAGAACTCCGCCGAAGACAAGATTGTAGGAGAACAGGATCAATGATATTATTCTGCCGAAGACAAGATCGTAGAGAACAAGATCAATGATTCCTGTTCAGAATGGGAACAGACACAGGGGCAATGCACGCTGCTTTGAGCTTTGAGTGTGTTAGATGTCACCCCCTGCGCCATGTTCTGACTCTGTAAGTGCGGCAAATTCTGGCGTCATGTGACCTCCAACCTCACATGCTTTTCAAACGGTCCAAATGGTCGTTCGGTCTTTGAAACAAACGGTCGACCATTTGCGTGAGAACCCTTGCCATGTCGAAGCTGCCTTACTACTCAGCCGAAGGCTGGTCACGTGCATTACAAGGGGCCTTGTAAGTGCTATTTAAGGATGTCGGCGCAACATAAAGGCCTTGAAAGGCTTGAAATGCTGCCAGCTTACAAGGTTTATCACGTGGCATTATCAGAGTCTTACAGTCGTCGCCTCATGTTCTCCACTCTGCACATACCTGTACATACTACACATTGTCCATACTGTCAAATACATGGCACCAAACCACCCAAGCAGAAGTAAGTACAACTATAGCCAAAAAACACTGACTAGTGGATCAAAATGTCCCCACTGCAGCGATATGTTCAAATCCCAGGGCTACAAACACCATGAATCTACGTGCAGGATGCGTGATGCACAGGGACAAGAGAACCTCAATCGAGAGTATGATAGAGACAAATGAAGAGGTGAGTCATTTGTTCTCTTATTTATAATGGATCGAAAGCTTATTATCCACACGTTATCATAATCATTGACATCGGTCACAATGAACATAGCCTGCCATCTAGCTTGACAAGGTGTAGCAGCCTCGACTGTAACGGCAGTAGCAGGCCCATCACATATGGTCGAAGATGACACAACCCCAGGACAAAGTGTGTCATCACTTGCTTACCAGTTTAATCATGCTGCTGACACTTCGATGATCTTTCAACTGCACCTATAGTCAGTCTTTCATTGGATGATCACAACATTATAGACTTTGACCCTGGAAATGAGGTCCTTCCCAGCCCAGGTATGTGCTTACATGTTTCATTCTCATTCATCATCTGATTAACAATATTTTATGTAACAGTCTTATCGGATGCAAGCATGACCAGCAATGTCCAACCTCAGCCTGCGCCCATTGATTAGTCTTATGAATTTGAAACTGAATTTCACCCTCGTAGTGGCCGTCAAACACTCTACCAATCCTTTGATGAGTTTGGCATCGCTCCTGAGATGCAAGCACTTCCTGCAGATGAAGCACTGTGGCGTCCGTTCCGGTCACGCAGAGATTTCGAATTTTCTGAAATTGCTCTTGATGCTGCTCTCAACAAACACCAGATTGACAGGCTACTTAGCCTCATCGCCCACATATCGCAGGGTCAAACTCAAATCACACTGACAAATGAGACCGATCTGCGCATGTTACGCTGACCATCGGTCGGCGTGTGTGAACTTGGATAGGTCTTCTCAGCGACGGCTCGAGTGAGCCCACCAAAGCTAAGGGGTGTTCTCGGCTTGACGGAACGTCAAGGGTTCCTCCGGTTATCTTGGTAAGACGGCGCTCGTCGAGATACAGGGCTAGCAGATATGGCTAAGGCGCGGGGAGCGACTTAGAAGTGCAGTCTAGACAGCTGAGCTGGGAGGCTTAGCTGAACAAATTTCAGGATAGAACCAAGTAGATTAAAGTAAAGATCTCAATACAATAATCTGTCTACTTATATGTGCTACATGTAAGTGTTCAAGCTCAGTCTGTATCTAATAGTATATCTATGGATCTATGTTATCACAGATAACAAGGCATGAGGACGGTCATGAGGATAGATAAGATACATGAGGTTTAACCTCTGATCAAGCATGCAGCTGCCAAGTGCGACTGCGCATATACATGAGGCGCCTGGAGGCGCTCCGGATCTTCATGAAGCGGCATGAGGTATACATGCACTGATCTAGGGTGACCATGAGGCGCACAGCCTCCATGGGTCAGGTACGAGGCCGTCTAGGCCAGGGGCGGTGTCACAGTGGTATAGACCACTGTCTTTCTAAGTGCTGGCGGCAGGAGTCTAGCAGAGCAGGGGCTCCTGTAGGTGTTACGGATGCCTGTAACAGCGCAAGGCATTAGACAATGCTGTGACTGAGCTGATGCCGGTGTGTGCCTTTCCTTCATTCTTGAGATACTCATTTCTAATCGTTTAGATTCTTGTATATTAGTTCACGAAACATGAAATCAAAGTTCCCTACAAGAATGAAGAACGGGTCTACGAGGTGCATGCACGTCCTTTATGGGACTGGGCCCTCGATCTGTTGGATAACCCATTGCTAGCACCCCATTTTGTTTGGGACACTGCAACACGTCTACAAACATAATGGCACAGACTTCAAACATTTCTTCAACGAACCGTGGACTGGTCACCAGTGGTGGGATATCCAAGTATGTTGTCATGTTTGATACTCACATGTATATACAATAACTATGTTTATGTTATCAGTCTCATCTTCCGCCGGATCTGAATGCCTGTCCCCTTTTGTTTTATATTATACGCAGACAAGACTAGGCTCTCCTCACATGGCACCAGTTAAAGGGTACCCAGTTGTGGTGTGCTGCGCAAATCTACCTGTTGAGATTCAAAACGGTGAAGGGCTCGGTGGCAGTCGGGTGGTTACCAATTGTGAGTCCCAATGACTTCATCTGTACTCTCAAATGGTTTTTGATATTACTACTATTACTGTAGGTTCCTGAAGAGGCATTCGAAGAGGGGAAACTCAGATATACTACTCTAAAGCGTGTCATGTGGCACGAGTCATTCCTCAAGCTTCTTGTTCACCTTGATCAGTACTCGAAGACTGGGTATTCATATTCATGCTATGACAAGATCATGCATTGGTTGTTTCCTGTTATACTGATACTCTCGGGAGACTACGAGGAACAGTAAGTGCGCCATATGTTGATATGCACAGCCCTCACTTCTGTTTTTAGATGCATGATGTCTCTCATATGTGGTTTACAGTGCAAGTGCCCTTGCCCAGTCTGTCTTGTCCCTCTTGACGAGCTTCATGACTTGTCCAATACCTTCCCAATCAGGTCTATGAAAGATGCGCAGGTTGCGCTCGACATTTACAGATGGAACAGAACTGAAGGCGAAGAAGTTCTGAAAGGGTTAGGATTGCGTCCCATCGCAGTAAGTTAATCTTTCTCTTAATCTTCTCAACTGATAAATTTTCAGAATGTCCTGTGGCTCATCGAGAATTCTGACCCTCATGAGGCATTAAGCCTGGACAACTTGCATACCTTGCATGGTGGCACAGGGGGGGAACATTTACTCAGAGAATTGAAGACGGTCCTCGCTGACCTTGGATGCGAGGCCCAGGACAATTTCGAGCAACAGTACGTCTTTTTTACCATGATTGACATCACTAAACCTCTTGCATCCAGGGTTGCTGACTTCCCTCGATGGCATGCTCTCACCCATTTTACCACTGTCATCCATATCACCTTTAGCGATGGCAACAAGAGGCGGGACTTAGTCAAGGTATGTACATATGCCCATCAACATCAATTTCTCGGCTGATCATTACAAAGCAAGCATTTTATGCGGCGCTCAGTGTCTTAAATGCCAAGTCAGTCCAGAAGGCTACCACCTTCTTCGAGTCATTCGCAGTTACCTGCGGTTGGATAGTTTGATCAGGCTCAATGTGCATACAGAGCGGACACTTGCAATGATAGACACTGAATTCCTCATCTATGATACTGCACTCAAGGTAATGTTTTTCTTTCTTTTCATTAAATTATTGTTGGTACTGACACAATGCTAGGACTACATTGAATATGCCACTATGACATCATCCATTGAGGGCATCAAGACAGACTGGAACTTTCCAAAGACGCATCTTTGGAAACACGCACAACACGACATTAATCGAAAGGTGTGGCACGTAACTACAGCACATGCCCAAATGAGAAGCTCCATGGCCCGCTAAAATCAGCCTATCTTTCTCAGTCGAATGGAAAAGACGTTGCTAAACAGGTATGTGCACTCATCCGTTCGTGTTATCTTGTTGCTAACAGGTTGTATATACTTGTAGATCCTTCGTATTGATCATCATAAATGTGCAGCCCTGCTGTTGCGAGGATGTCTGGATACCCTCGACGAACAATGCCGCCTACAGGCTTTAGGTGATGCTGGGCTTGATGACGAGGACCACAACCACATCAATTTGGATGGGCATTTCAAGCTCAGCTCTCCTCAAAGCCGTGCTGATACTATTCAGGATATTGAAAACAGGCTCAGTGCTCAAGATTCAGTGTTTCAAGGCTTCCACAAGAAACTTGCTAATTTCATCAACATGTCATTACCTACTTATGGATACCAGTTGACGAGATGGACCATTATTCCAACTGATTTCCAGGTATACTATTGATTGATTATCTTTTGTTATTTCATGCTAACTGGCATATTATTCAGATTCATGAATACCGCTACCTCAAGCTCAATTATGAAAGTACCGTCAACTGGAGACAGTCGACAGATCACCTCCAATCCAATCCTTCTTTCCATGGGTCTCCACGCTTCGATTGCGCACTCATACAGCTTACTGCAGAAAGGACCGTCTTTGTTAAGATCATATTTATGTTCAAATGCGAAGTTCCGGATATTGGCGCCTTCCAATTTGCACTTGTTCAGCCGTACACCGCTGGCATTCAAGCTGTTCCCAGAAGAGATTCAATTTTTGTACCCCTCAAGTCCTTCATCTGAGGAGCTGTTTTGGCCTGTGATCCAGAGCACCAAGACGAGTTTTTGGTTGTCGAGCATATTGATAGTGACATGTTCCTGCGCATGGAGGCACGGGCACTGTTGATGAGCCTTTCAGGTAAGTAGTACTTGATGTTTGCGTCCGTTCAAATCCTGACGAATTACTGCTTAGGGAGTTCGAAGACATGGTCAAGATAGATTTCATAGGTCACCAAGGACCTTACCCGACTTATATCCTTCCCTTATCCTCAAAGACAACCCCTCCTCCTACCACAAATCTCTTCCTGCCTCCTCCAGTCACACTGGTGCTGGCGCCCACGCCTTCATATGGCCATCGCTATCCTTCGCCTCCAAAGCCCACTTTCCCTCCACCAAATTCTTCCTACATTAGAGAGGGAGGTCAATGTGGATCCGGTAATGCTTAGGGAGTTCGAAGACATGGTCAAGAAGGATTTCGCAGGTCAAGGACCTTACCCGACTTATATCTTCTCCTCCTCCTACCATAAATCTCTTCCTGCCTCCTCCAGCCACATTGGTGCCCACACCTTCATATGACCATCGCTATCCTTTGCCCCAAAACCTGCTTTTCCTCCGCCAAACTCTTACATTACCCCGCTCACAGTGCTGCCCACAATGCTGGACACATTGTCTCTTTGCCTCCAATTTATGGTGTTTCGCACCTATCACTTGGCAACACCCAATGAGACGGCCTGCAGGTAATGTAGCCATCAATTCATCACGTTTCATTACTAATATCAACACTTGTGCAGCTACTATAACACTAATATATCTTCCATGAGGCTTGCCAATGCTCTGCCTTTGAAGCGGACCCTTTTGAATCTGCCTTACTACCACGGACTATGTACTAATCAAGGAGAAATTTGATCTAGACGGCCTCATGCCTAGGTGAGTTTAGTCACCACACTTCAGTATTGTGTCATAATAACAACTTACCATCACTCTAGACAGCGCCACATCGATAGTGGAGACAGAACTGTCTCCTTATAAGCAGCACCTTCAGGTAAGTTGCTGCTTGTGTACCGTCACCCATCCTCACCAGCTTGTTACTGTCAGTTTCGAAGAGATGCCTGTTGGAAACTCTGATGGCGAGGACTTTGAAGCTGAGCTCGATACTGTCAGCGATGCTGAAACTTCAGATGCTGAACACTCCAGTGACGATGATCTGGACGTATTAAGGACGGTTCTGTCTGTTCCTCAGCCTGATGCACCAATGCACGAAGTTCACAAGGTATTTGATCATTTTGTTATTCTCTCATTGTACTAACATAATCCTGTACATATAGGCTCTCAAAACCACTCAACAAGCGTACAATACACTATGAGTAGAGTTTCGAGCTCTTAAGAAAGACTACCTTGCGCTTTCAGCTACCATTCCCACCTGCAGCCGTAATCGCACCCTCAAGAAGACATCTGTGCTCGATACCAAGATCATCACCCAAGGGAAGACATATGCACTATTCTACCATTTCTGGGTTATCCCCGGCGTGTTCCCAACAACTCCTCAGCCCGATGTCGACCCATGTAGTCCTACGCCTTGGACTTCACCTGAGGCCAAGCTCAATGGCGCTATGGCAGAGTTGTATCAGTGTGTGCCCAAGGATCTCCACAAGTCCATGGAGAAATATACACCATTTGATTCTCTGGTATGTACTTTCATGTTTTATTGATATAACTTAATTATATGCTTATTCTTACTAGTTTTGTGCTGCAGTCAGCGCAGAGCGTTCCAACATTGTACATGCCATCAAAGGCTGTGCAGGCATTATTTTCTCGATGCTTAAACTCGATCCATTGCTCTTCACATCCCAGACAGACATCAGAAAGCGGGACAACAAGGATCTCCTCGATTTACTGAAAAAGAAACGCGAAGGAGATTATATCCGGTTGGCACCTGTTCTATTTGCGAGACCTGATGCGATGACAGCCAACGAGTTTCTTAAAAGTCCAGTCCTCATCAAAGTAAGTATCAATTCAGTTATCGTATAATACAATGTATTAACAACTCGCTAGATTGTTAGTGTTGAGATGTATGGGAAGAAGATTCTTTCTGGGAAAGTCAAAGGTCAGAAGGCCAGGGGGCAACGTTGCAACGCACAGTGTGTAACCGAAGGACTGATCGCAGGTGCTGCTGTTATGGTGAGTACCCTTTCATTCATTTTATAAGTTTTCATTGACGATTCCAGGCACGTTTTTTGTTAACGCACGATCCTGAATTCACAGCAATCGGTGCGGAGACCAAGATAAACTACCAAGCTGACTACGATTTCTACTTAGAGCGCCTGTTCAAGTGCACACCATGGGCCTGTAGCATCATGAACTATTTCAATGAGGAAGTTTTCAATGTCACCAGCCAGTCTCGTGTACCATTGGCTAATGACTCTCCTATCGTCTCTCCTCCTTGAACATGGGAGGATGATCTCCTTGATGAGCTCGATGCTCCTACTCAGTCTTCGACTCTTACCTCTTCACCTACCGCTAACTCGGCAACAGTTGATGTCATCTCCAACTATCAGACTTCCATGTCCATCAACCGAGGGTCCGTGTCCACACCTGCTCAGCTGCAACTAGGTGTCAGCCAGTTGTCACTGGGTAACAAGTCACCTGCATCAGTGACCCATAGCACATCATCTCATCAACCTCAAATGCAAGCTACCGAGTCACCTTTCATACCCCAGCCCAAAAAAACTATCTGTGTCACCCGTCATGGCAGCACCAGAGCAATTACTAGTAGAGGTGGAAGGGGGAAGGGGAAGGGGAAGCATTGATAGTTAGGTATTTTCTGTCTCGCTCGTATATCTTGGTCTTAGATTTTGTTGTTATTCACTTGTGATTTGTTGCTTTGATTGCAGTTTACAAATGCCATACTGATTCTTGTCACTCAGTGCATCCTTATAAGGCACCAAAAGACGCCATATAATCAACCACCTTACAAAGGTAGTCAGAGGTCTAATAACTAAGTGGTTACTATGCTGGTGAGTACTATAATTTACAAAGTAATAAAAATGCTAATAGCAAGTGTTCAAATCCCCCCCCAGTGTAAATAAAATACTAGTACTAGCATTAAAATAGAAAGATTGAAATTAGAATAGAATTGAAAAACACGATGCGCCCTAAGAAATCTATATTTGTCTTCTGATATCATGCTGATCCTTTTCAAGCCTTACAATGCTTACATGATCTGGTCTGTGACTCACGCCATTGCAAGGCATCATAATGTGGGAACGGTTGCCTTTTAAGACGCTTGAAAGATTATCTCCATCATTGTGAAACCTTAAAAGGTGGTGTGTGAAAACTATGCCTTAAAATGTATTATGAGGCCTGAAAATAGTGCCTAGAAACTTCCGACAGATAATTCTAATGAGAAACCCCCCGTGGGAAAGAAACCCCGACATCAACAGGAACGTTGACACATCGGGGTTTGCAATATTTAGGGGAGGTTTATATGTAGTACAAAATGCAAAGAAGATATTTGAAATTTAAACTAACATAAAGATGGGCACATAATTTCAAATTTTGTCAGTGTTTTATGCGAAATCCAAAATATGAAGCATCCGCAACCATTTTCCCACTAATTATATGTTAATGAAAATATGAAATATAATCAGATTTTCAGCATCTGCATGAATTTGAAGTTCAATCATCATGTGAAACGTTGGACAAAACTTGAAGTTTAGTCCATCACTACATGTTTGTCAATGTATTAAATTTTGTCCGACAATTAGACACCCCTCCAAATTTGAAGTTTAAGGCCACAACAAAATGTGATGACTAAACTTAGAGTTTTGTCCACAGACAAAATGAATTGCCCACTCATTGCCCACCCATTGCCTGCCCATTGCCTGCCCATTGCATGCCCGGAATTCTTAAGTAAAGCTTTGGCTTATTTTCCTTATATAGATTACTTAATAAATGGAATTAAGCGGCTAAGGCAGTCAAGGCAGCGAAATGGTTTGAAACCTTCAAGTCCAACATTTGTATATGTTTGTTCGCGTTACAATGTGCTCAAAATCTTTCCCAACTTCAATGTTCTAACTCTGCCTGAGACTACCTGTTTCCTTATTTGAATTTTCATATTGAGGTGCCCAAAGATTTTTTATTATTCCAATCTTGTTCTTTCTATTTATGTAAATGTAAATATGTAAATTAAACAAAACTATTCTAGCTCCAACCGATCTTCCTTTGAGCTCCAGTCACGCTGATCCAAATCATTGCCCGCTGTCCGCAAGACGTGAGTGTGTCGATCCTCCCTTTGAGTTTGAGCCATGCTGATCAGCGTCATCACCCACCATTCGTAGTTGGTGAGTGTGTTGGTCCTCATTTGAGCAAGAGCCATGCTGATCCGCGTCATCGCCCACCGTTCGCAGGATGTGAGTGAGCCATGCTGATTAGCGTCACCCACCATTCACAAGATGTGAGTGTGTCAGTCCTTGTTCGAGCAAGAGCCATGCTGATCGGTGTCATCACCCACCATTCACAGGATGTGAGTGTGTCGATCCTCATCCGAGCAAGAGCCATGCTGATTGGTGTCATCACCCACCATTCGCAGGACATGAGTGTGCCAATCCTCAAAGTCGTTTCCCACCGTTCACAGCCTGTGAGTGTGTTGATCCTGTTTTAAGCTCAGGCCATGCTGATCCAAGTCATTTCCCGCTGTTTGCAGGATGTGAGTGTGTCGATCCAGCTTCGAGCTCGAGCCATGCTGATCGAAGTCATTGCCCACTGTTTGCAGTATGCGAGTGTGTTGATCCTCATTCGAGCTCGATATTTTCTCACTCTGACACTATATATTTGACAGGACTTGATTAGTTGATTGGCTACTACTAGTACATGCTCATGTATTTGCCTTCTTAGTCTATGTCTCGAAATAATTGTATTTTTGAGCCTTATTTTAAGGAAAGTGCCAAAAGCACCTTAGTTTAAACCTTTAAGGGAATGGATCTCCTTATTTTTGAGTGACCTTATCGTGCAAATTTAGGAGAATAAGGAGCAAATGAGATTGAGACTCGTTGCACTCAACAACGCTCTGACTCAAATAAATTCTTTTCACGTAATATACTGTTGTGACATTCATTTTTACAGGCAATGGGCGGGCAATGGGTGAGCGATAAATGGGCAATGGGTGGGTGATGAGCGGGCAATTCATTTTGTCTGTGGACAAAACTCTAAGTTTAGTCATCACATTTTGTTGTGGCCTTAAACTTCAAATTTGGAGAGGTGTCTAATTGTTGGACAAAATTTAATACATTGACAAACATGTAGTGATGGACTAAACTTCAAGTTTTGTCCAACGTTTCACATGATGATTGAACTTCACATTCACGCAGATGCTGAAAATCTGATTATATTTCATATTTTCATTAACATATAATTAGTGGGAAAATGGTTGCGGATGCTTCATATTTTGGATTTCGCATAAAACACTGACAAAATTTGAAATTATGTGCCCATCTTTATGTTAGTTTAAATTTCAAATATCTTCTTTGCATTTTGTACTACATATAAACCTCCCCTAAATATTGCAAACCCCGATGTGTGAGTAGAAACCTCTGCTTACCTAATGAAGACCGCTGTTTGTCTCCGCCATGCGCACCGGTACTCGATGTTCAACATTTAATTTTACTAGCCTGTGCTGCTGCCTTTCTGTACTATTTGCTATCAAATAATACTCACATTTCCATTCAAAATCCAAGGTGATAGTTCTTCAACCCAGTGGCCAGAGATGGCAAAGTACCCGTCAACATTGGAGGCTTGCCACACATTGCACGTATTGCTAACCTTGCCTTTCATGGTGTCACTCTGTAAATAGTGATCATGACATATAGTTCAAATAAAAATATGAAACCTACATTCAATTGTGTGCGAAGGTGTTTCATCTGTTTTTGAAACATATTAATAATCTTGGCCCACATTACTTTACGATCTGGAATTTTGATGCCATTCGGAGCCCTTGAGGCCACATTAATCAATTTGTGGAAGTAAAGATGGTCGAGTGCTTGTATTGGCTAATTGCCGTGACTGAGACAACACATTCAAAATGTCATTTGAATGACAAACCTGATCTGTGGCAATGAGCCACTCAGTTGCTGCCTCTTGGAACAGCTTATCAGAGTATGGCAAGATACATTCAGCCTTTGGACACTCATGTAGATGGTCATCAAGACCAGTTTGACTTGTACTGGCCCTTAGCATGTCATTTCTTCACTTTGCGACAGCTTTCGGAAGCATTGAATTGAATGAATTTTCACTCGCCCATTTGTTATATGAAAGCTAGAGTGTACATTGAGCAATTTTACATACTCAAGTGTACTACACACCTTATGATCCTTTTCAAGGTGATGGCGACAGGTTGACAAGTCCTTTACAAATCATTTATGCGAACCTTTTTTGCTAGTATGAGTGGCAGTGTATAAGTAGTGAAACAATACTACCATCGAAGCTAATGACTTACGAGCACAACTTACAGTCATGGTAAGTGTGAGGCTTTCCATCAACACCATTTTCAGAGTACTTGGCACTGAAAAATTCATTGACATCTTGACCTCTGTTCTCGTGCCTTGGCTTGTTATTGTCATTCGAGAGGCTTGCAACATCGATGTTGGCAAGGAAGCCACTGTCGTTGACTTCATTGGTAGTACTAGTAGTCATGTTTCGAGACTTCTTCTTCTCTGCACAAAGTGAGCTTGAGTGACATATACAGATAAGTATTTGTGTGAGACATACTTGTTGGCCTTTTCGGAGCCATTGAACTGTCGGTATCATCTTCGCCACTGGAAGAGTGGTGGCTCATATCTGCCTCAGAGACATCTCGAGATCTTTTGGCGCCAGGCAATAGTGCGTGAAAAGTTTCTGCCACTGCGGCAGGTGGTGGTAGGTGTTGTTGGTGTTGCTCAGATGCGCGCTGTAGCACTTGAGCTCATGCTAGGCTCGTATTCAGCTATTTTCCAATGCATGTCGAATGCCCATCGGACATGATCACTTCCCAATGTTATCCGACACTCACCTGCTCAATCCAACGCTAATCTGCTAACCCAACGCTAACCCGACAAAACCTGATGCTAGTCTGATGAACCTGATGTTTCCTGTGCATCAGACCCGATATTTTCCCGTGCACTTGTCCTCCCTATGTCCTGTCCTGTCATATCTATCCCCACTAGGTGCGCAGTTATTCATTTTCACATTGCTAACATTGTAGAACGTGTTATTATATGTCTGCCTTACATCGTGTCTTATTACATAGGACATCGGACCCGAAAATCAGCACTACTACTTTTGCCTATAGCACTCCGAAATTCTACATAGATACTATATATTTTGCATACTTCCTACCTATTTACTTTACCTTTCTACCTCCGAGTAGGAGGAGGTCATCCGATATTCATAGTTCTTAGTTGGATTCTGCAATATCATCCTTTCTTTATCCGACACATCTGACAGTAACCCACCATTCACTATCCCTGACATTCTCTATATTCCCGACGCAAACCCGACGCTAACCTGAGGCAAACCCACTAACCCGAAACCCGAAAACATCGGACCTGATGTTTTTGACATCGGACTCGTAATTATACCTTCGGACTTTGTTTTCCACGCTTTGGACTATCTTCCTTTTGTCATAACTGATTATTCTAATACCATACAGCAAACCCCTCGGGTCAAACGCACTTGTCTTGCAAGTATAGCAGACTAGGCTGTGCACAACCACAACATTTTTATATTGCTGGCTACTTACTTTGTGTAGTGCCCAGCAATTGTTGTATCTCTACACCGCACATTGGATCTAACATGTCGTTGAGTCCTCACCATCAGGTCCCAAAAGTGAACTTAAACTTCGAGTAGACCTCATTGGATTCCATCAAATTCCAGGTCATCACGATGGTGAGCATCTTGCACAGACATTCTTACATATATTGAAACAGATTGAGATTGCTGAGAAGGTAGGCTAACTTGTGTATCTACCCTCTTCATTCACAAGTTGACACTTCAATTTAGCTTGGTTGGGTGACTGTTGATAATGCCACAAACAATTCAACAAGAACTTACATCATATCTGGTATGCTGCATTTGAAATGTGCACTCATCTAAGATGCTTACTTGTCTAGGTGTTTTCCCCTTATCGTCAACCTGGCATGCAAGGCAGTACTACAAGCAATAATGAACATGGATCATGCACAGAATGATGCCATCGAATATGTACCAAATATGCCACCATCAAGAGACTTTATGAGTGCTATTGAGCGTGATCCTATTGCAACTGTCTGCACAATTGTTCATGTTGTGAGTCACCAATGTAACTCACCTGTTTTTCATATCTGATGTTATATACTAGACAAGAGCATCAGGACTTTGACAACAGTGCTTTTCCAAAATTGTCAAAGTCACAAAGCAGACAGACCTTTAACTGCTACATAACATTGACATTCGCTGGTTATCAACATTATTGATGATTGAGCATGCAATCTTATTATGTGCAGTATGTTGTTCTTGCATTGGACATTTCTGAGCTAAGGTCAAATTTCTAGGCCATTGATAGGTTTCTTGACAGCCACGACTTCCCTGAGCTCAAGAAATATAAGCTCAATGATGTAGAATGGCAGGCCCTTGATGTTTTCAAGGATATTCTCAGTGTATGTCACAGTTTTAAGCCTTGTGATCTATTTGTCATGGACCATGTCACTGCTATGTACTCAGGTTCCACATGCTTTTCAGCAGAAGCTTTCATCTGAGAAGACACCAACATTGTGTGACAGTATTCCATCATTTGAAGCCATGAGTTGAGTGTGGTGACAACAAGCTGACAAATATCCTGACTGTGCAGCTGTCATTCAGCCTGGACTTGATAAGCTCGAAGCTTATCGTGCTCATATATCTTGTGTACCCGCTTATGTTTTGGCGATGGGTGAGTCCTTGAAAATATTCAGATGCGAAGTTTAGCTCAACTTCTGCAGTGATAAATCCTGCCATGAAGTTGAACTGGTTCTTGGCCAATGCACCACACCAAATGCAGCAGGCAAAGAATCTTGTGCTCACTGAGGTATATATATAAATTTGGTTTAGGATTCAACACCCTTACTGATCATCTTTGTGTATGTATTAGCTTCAAACTTACTCAACAATGTTGGAACATGATGTTATGGCTGCAGAACCGACTTCTGACATATCTTGGGCTGATAATATCCTTGGTATGTCAATGTATTGTTGACCAGCAACACAATGACACAGTTTAGAAGCTGAGGTTGATGCATACTTGCTTGACTCTGAAATTAGTACAAGTAGCTTGAGTTACTGGCAGGTATGTTTAAGTTGTCTTTCTTTGTGTCATGATTTGATTCCAAGAATCAGGAGAATCAGTCTCGCTATCCAACACTATTTTCTCTTGCCATGAATGTCCTTCCGATTCAGGGTTCAGCTGTGCCATGTGAATGGGTATTTTCTTCTGCAAAGGAGACAATTACGATGCGTTGCAACCGAATGAGTCATCAAATGATGGAAGCTTGCAAATGTTGAAGTTTTCATTCAGACATGGCTATGAACTCAATTTCACAGCATGGATGGACAAGAAAGCAGAGATTCGGGAGATTGAGCAGTTGATGGATGAAAAACTTCTTGTTCCGATTGATATTTCAGCTTTTGTTGACACTCTGCTTGTCGAGGACCACTTTAATCATGTCAAATAGTGTTTTACTATACAAATTTCCTTTTTTAATGACGAGCTTCTAGTTGAACCACAAGCCACACCAAACTCAAGCCAAACCAATTAAAAACTGCTGCAAGCCATGTTCTTATAAACTACTTAGCTTACAAACTGATCAGAACTGAGCTGAGCTGAGCTGAGCCAAGCTGTTGGCTACACTAATTAGGGGTGAGAGACTATTATGGGAGTGTCCTGATAGGATCCTCCACTGATATATCAGCCTCTATGGACCATAGATACCTATGCACTACAGCAATTAATGTATCACATTTGTACTACAACTGTAGGGAGTGATATATCAAATCTACAGGGACAGGTGGCATAATTGGCACAGGTAAGCTAGCACCCATCTTCTGCTGCAACAGAGGAATATCATCACATTGCCTCGAACTGTTCATGTTACTCTAGATTTGTGGGCATTGATGACTATGTAGCTAGAAATCAAATTTCTCCCAAGATAAAAGATCATATTGGATGACTTCCTGCAGCATCTAGAATTCCAATGATTCAAACCTTATGTGCTGAGGAGCCACTGTGAAACATAAGCAACTTCCAACTCCACACGTCAAACGGACCCTGTTCCAGATTCAGATCGTCATTCTAAGCAATATTTCAATGTCCGCGACGTCATGTCACACAAACAAAGTCAGCCAAGTCTGTGCTACATTCTGCACCATGTGTGCTCCCATCCATGCAAGAGCTTCATTTTCAATTTTTCTAGGCGATTACAGTGTATTTTCATGTGATGTGGCGAGGATAAGAAATAATTTAGCCATCCTTACGATGCTTTTCATATGTTCAAGTCTCCGGATCTCTCTTTTATGCTAATCAGTGATCGCTTCAGGTGTATTTTACATTCTGCACCATGTGCAATGTGCTATGCGTTTTGCAATATAAAGTGTACATCTACATTCAATATATGTATCACTGATCTCTCTCTAACTTCCTACAAAGCCCAAAACTTTTCGTCATGCAGCCCGCTGGTCAAACGTTCACATACCCCCCCCACTTCCACCTGGTTACTATGACATACTGCCACCAGGCTCGTATTCAACTCCTTTCTTGCCTGGTCAGCCCTACGGTGTGCTGTCAAGGGTATCATACAAACCTGAACTATCAGACAGCAAGGATGACAATACAATCGAAAATCAGGTTATGTGCCCACCCTTCACGCAGCCTGCATCTACTCTGCCTGCAAAGTTGCTGGTAGCTGCCATCCAAATGCAGTGCCATCCCAAGCTAAAGGGAAGAGGAAGGCACTCGCCACAATCGAGCCACCAACCAAGAAAAGGTCAGGTCGTGGTGGTCGTGCTTTGGGTACGCCGAACTACAATGATGACGATGTTGCTGCCCTGTTTGATGCATGCATGAACTGTCTTCCACTTGGCGCAAAGGGTTGGCTTGCTGTTGAGGAAGAGTTTGCTGAATGGGCAGATAGCCATGACTGTCCCACTCGTCCCACAAAATCTCTTGAGCTTAAGTTTAAGCAGGTATGTATTCTTATCTATTGTGAACTCTGATGCTGATATTCTGCTTTAAGCTGGTTTGCACTATGAAGCCAACTGGTGATGCTGAGTGCCCTCCTTACATTGAATGCGCTCATGAAATTGATTTCCACATGAATGAGAAGGCTGGCACGCAGGATCTCGATGACGATGAATTCGCCAATGAAGTCATTAATATTGGGAATGACAAAGATGAGCCTCAGCAAGCCAGGACACCAAAGGTCTCTGTCAAGACTGAGATACGGGAGCCTGGACTTAGTACTTCCTATCATTCTGTTGGCACACCCACTCCTCGACCTCGCACCTCATGCACATCAGGTCTTGATCTTCTAACTTCAATCATGGCTTTGCTTGATCCTCGACTTCAAGCCGCTTGAGATGACGAGCGCGCTGCTTGGACTTTACAGACCACTCAACTTGTATCTACGTCCAACCAGTTGCGAGACCCACACATGACCATTAATTCACTTCGTGATCAGCTCTCACAATGTGAACATGAGCGTGCTAATGCTGAGTGTCGTGCAGACCATCTAGAGATGCAATTGGAAATGGCTCAACTTGTGCAGAAAGGTCCAGATTGCTGACTGATGCCACAAACACCACGACCACGATACATACATTGCGAAATGAAATATACTGATGGGGGAGCATCTACAATCTGGGTCTCACCTGATGATGAAGACGAGCATTTTAACTTCAATCATGACAACCTCCATGATGTAGTCTCTCAGCAGGATTACATTGAAGATCTGAAGACTGGTCATCACACCCTTCGCAGACCCTCCACATCACCTATCCGTCAATTACCATCTTCAAGTGCACAATTCAATGTGTCATTCACTCCAACATCTTCCCGCACTGGCATGAATGACTTATCAGTTGTAATCTCACCAACTCATGCTAGTGCCACAACTCAGCACATTCCACCTACTTTGAGTCATTCAATGACTCAGTGTGTCTTGCCTGCTCATGCAGAAGACTAGGCTCTCAACAGAACTCAAGCGCTCTCAACAGTGCAACTGGAGCACTTTCAACAGTGCAAAACTTGAGTGCTCTCAATAGTGCAAAGTTTTCTTTTCTACTATACTATGCTATGTTTACTTGGTAGTTAGAAGATGATGGAGGGTACTTAAGTATGTATATTGACACTGGCCAGATGAATAAAATACTCTAGGTATAACCTGGGCTACAATACTCCAGGATTTGTTGGAGTAAGTGTCGTCACAGATGACCTTGGATGCGAGCATGAAAGTGGATATGAAAAGATGGTGACCCAAAGATCCCCAAGCAGTGGGAAAGCACTCCTTGAGTTGTTGTTGGAGAACGAGGGCAGCAAAGGTTACTGAAGCATGAATTTTAGTGCGGTGAAGGGCATAAGCGATGAAATGGGGGAGCTTTACTTGTGAGTTAGAAGATGAAGGGGACAAACAGCTACTAAAAATTTCTACTATGTACTTGATAAATGGAATCGAGCTACACGATCATTGCTACGCTGATGTGAAAATAACATGTTTTCAAATTGTGCCCAAACCATCCTATCCTTGTTGTCTTCTTGCCAAATTGGCATGTATATGCTTCATATTTGATTAATTCCTACCATCTGAACATGTACATTATTAAGCCAAACACACACTTCAAGCAAATCACAGCGCTGCTCGCTAAAGTCAATGTTGAGGGGAACATGAAGACGTCCAAAGGAGCCCTGAAGAGCACGCATGCCCCACTCTGCCGTTTGACGAAAAGAAAGCAGCTGCCGGTCAAATAAAAGCAACTTCTGTTTTTCAGTAGGATCGTTAGGGAGGCATTGTCCTGCCTTGAGTGGGGCTTTGATGCGACCAGCAATCTGATCTGTACCTCATGGGAAAGTCGTATCAGTGACAAGGTAATACCCATCTGGTGTGTTTGCACTGAGTTTGTCATAGATGGGTCAGGCCATGCGGGAGTCATGCCAGCTGCCTGATGCATTGAGGCGGCATTGAATTATTGAGCCTGCATAGTAGTAGCAATCAGAACCAAAGACTCAGTGGATGGTTTAGACAACAGCATACCATCAGCACTAAATGCAATGACCAAAATGACAAAGTGACTGTGCAACCACCAATTATAAGTTGTGTTCTTGATATCTTGGTCCTGGGATGTTTGCACAGGTAAATTCAGTCCATCAAGTGTGCCGAAGGCTCCCATCAACAAGGGATGATGTGTGACGACAAGTCCATTTAAAACTTGAAATTCATCATCAGATGGCCACCAGATGCAGGCTTCAGGGATGTTCCTGAGTGCATGAAGTAGTATAGTGAGGGAAAAATGTAGATAACGTGAAACAGTTGTTGGGATAAGTGCAAAAATTTGCATGAGGCTGACATCTTGCATGGTTGAGTTGAGCCAATGAAGAATGAGGTCTAATGCACCAGCAGCATCCAGGGAACATCGATAAGTATGAGGGGCAGCAGTGATAGAAATATTGTTGCAGGGGATGGGAATGATATCCCAAAGAGTTGCAAAGCCATGCGAGAGAATTTCATGAAATGTAGGGACATCAACACCCATGGTTGTGATAAATGCATGGCTGTTCTGTCCTGAGTAGAGCGCTTGCCAGGGAGTATTCAGACGTGGATTAGGAAGTAGGTCACTATGAATGAGATATCTTCTTCTTGCTTGCCAGAGTTCAGAGCATTCATAGTGTGATTGTTCAGCTCCAATGAATATAAGGATGCCGATGGTGGTAATGAGCCTCCTCGGTAATTCATCGTCTTCATCATCTTCATCAGCCAAAGTGAGGGTTTCATCAGTGATGTTGCATGCCATGTTTAAAGTTTAGGAAGTAGAATTAGATCATAAAGTTTATTTGACCGTGTCTACAGTTTGGAATGAGTTTCTAGATATAAATTCCACCTTGCCGAACCTCTGAATTTTAAGGTTTAGAATGAAATCTAGAAATCTAAATCCCATGGGAAGTCATCCATTTAGCAGGAGCAGAATTGTATGCTCCTGCAGTTCCCACAGCTACAATACCTAGGACCGGTGGGATCACTGGTGGTAAGATGTTGCCTCCATGCAGTGTGCACCAGGCTCCAGCCACTGGTTCAGACTTTAGCACTTCAGCAGCTGTGTGGTATTCACGAGAAGCATACCAAATCATCGTTGGATTGAATTCCTCTCTGCTGGCAGGTATCCAGGGCTACGACAGAAAAGACCAAATACTGCAAGGTGTATTTTGATTGTCCAGTGTCGCATGACCAGAAGTTCCACGAAACACATTTGCAACAAAGTGAATTTTGTCGTTGTTTGGCGAAATTCCGACACTTTTCTGCACAATTCAGTCCAAATATGACTAGGAAATATAGCAGAAATTTATTTATAACTGACGTACGTCCGAGTTGAGTTTCTAGTAGCTGATCTAATATGTTTGTCTCCAAGACATCGCTATCAAATATCTTGGCAATCCGCAAGTCATTTACACCTGCCCCCTGACCACCTTGTCCAAGCTCTCTGCAAAGTATCTTATGTTGTGCGAGTTCAGCCCAGCCATCGAAATTCGTCCGTTGGCTGTCAAGTAAATGTGGAAAGTATCTATCAGTGCTTGAGACTGAGATGGGTTGATTCCAGTGAAGCTGTGCCCCGTTATCAGTACGATATTCATTCCCAGGACGGTATGCTTTGCGCCATCCAAGCCACGCCATGGCGCCAATACGCGACCAATAGCACAAACTCACCTGAACATGCCAATCTGGTTAATGATATGAACCCAGCTACCTGGCGTTTTCAGCTCCTCCGTCAGGAGTCGATAAAGCTCATTGCGCATGGATATGATTCGCTCAGCCATGGTCTTGATGTCACGGTTCCAGTCGTCAAAGAGGGCACTGTCGTTGAGAATAAGCGAGACCTATTCCCCACCCCTCATCAGATGAGCGCAGTTCATACTAAAATCAACTCACCAGGCGTGCACCGTAAGCCGGTGGGTTGCTTATTTCACTGCGCTGTAAAACCGACAGCTGACTCTTAACACGGTCTGCAGCATCCTTCGTAGGGGGGACGATGTGGAGCGCGCCGATCCGCTCGCCGTACAGACCTGCGTTCTTGGCGAAGCTCTGGTCCAATCAGCTGTGCTGCAGTAGTCCAATGAGTGATCTACTGACCTGACACACAAGCATCGGCACACCCTTCTCTACGAAGTATCTAACTGCCCACGCATCGTTGTTGAGATCACCACTCGCAAAGCCCTGGTAAGCGCAGTCGAAAAATGCGTAATGGTTTTTAGCGACAATGACTTCAGCGATGTGTTTCCATTGGTCACGAGTAGGGTCAACTCCTGTGGGGTTGTGGGCGCAAGCGTGTAGTAAAAATACCGAGCCCGGCGCAGCACTTTCTAGGGTTCCAATGAAGCCATCAAAGTCTAGCCCGATGGTGGCCGGGTCATAGTAAGGATAATCTATAGGTTGGATTCCAACATTCTTGAAGATGGCATGGTGGTTAGCTGCAGGAACGCCTGATTAAACTTCCATCGCACCCAGTCCTATAAAAACTCACCCCAGGTGGGATTGCTCAAGTAAATCTGCTTCGGGGCATCCCAATGATAAAACCTGCTCAGAAACAAGGCTCCCAAGTGGTTTGCGCCAGTTCCGGATATGGTCTGTACGCTAACAGCACGCCCTTCTGCGATGGCAGGCGAATCGGCACCAAGGATGAGCTTTGCCGCACCGGCACTGAACTCTGGTAAACCCGTGATGGGGAGGTATTCGTGATCGAGATTAGGATCATTCAGAAGAATTTGTGTAGCCTATGGTGGCGCAGCGATTGAGTCTAGACTGTAGTTAGGATATAAAGAGAACGCACCTTCTTGATAACAGGAAGGACCCAAGGTTTATTGTCATCATCTCTATATGCTCCAACACCAAGGTTGACCTTCTGAGGAAACGTATCCGCCTTATACGCCGCGGTCAATTTAAAAATGCTATCCGTGACTTTTAGTGAAGGATGCAGATATGTTGTAGCTTGTACGCACCTGTCGGGTGGAGCAAGCGGAACATCCTGCCATGTTTCTGATTCGTGAAATGATTTGAATGCCGGGGTACAGTGGCGCAATTATAAGCAGGGCTTACCGGCCGACATCGTGTTTGAACCTGAGAGGTGATTATATACTTGTCTTATCCTGTCTGACATGTTGGTTAGTTCCGATATAAGCGATGTTGTAGGAGTCGTAGATTATCGATTATCACAGTGACGGTGCGAGTTGCGGCGACATACGGCAGCCGTGAAACATGCCATGTGATTATTGTCCCAAGCTTGTCAGATCATCCAACAAGCCTGGCAGCAACAGTAACTGAACATGAAAACCCAAGTTACTCACCAGTAGCCGATTTGAAGGTGGGATAAGGATGGCGATAGCAAGACGATGTCACGGTATAAGTAATAGTGCCAGCTTCATCTCGTGGTAGTACGGTGAGAACATATAGCCGAGCTCGTTTTAAATATTCCCGATCATGATGATTCTAGATTTTCTGGTATTGAATCAAGGCCTCGTGAGGTTCTCAAACGTTTATCAGACTCGGTTTTACTGATCATTGTATAGCCGTTAACCTGGACCCGAACAGGCTACTCCAGCGAACTCCTGGTAGTGGCCGCGTCTGGAATTCCAATATGGATGGGCCATTTCGGACGCCATGATCAAACGCCGCACACTACGCCCGTTTGGTAGTACTCGCTGCCTCCCAGTACCCTCCTTGTGACCTTCTCCTCCGCTCTTACTCCGGGAATGGTTTAATACAGAGCCAATCGATAATTCCTTTGGAAAATCTGAATTCGTTTTTCGGTTGAGGCTCCGAGTTGCGGCCAACCTGACTCTTCCAGAATTCTCTGAAGGTCAACGTGCGTGATATCGACTGCCGCGACAGAAGCCTCAAGCACAGGGTACCTCGGACTCCATGACCGGAACTCCCGGAGGACTATTCCTCGTGACCCTCCCATCTATGCGGTACCTTCAGATTGGAAGCCAGACGGACCAGTCACCATTTGCTCCATATAACGCACAGGGCCTAGCGTCCCAATTATTCTCGAATTCCTCGTGTCCCAAGACCGGTATCGTTGTCACCGGTGTTATCTTGCCTTCACGTACATTTTGATTCTTGATGCTTAACGAAATCCTGACGTACCAGTTCTACTCCAGCGTTGTTCTTAAAGTCCGCGGGGACTTTACTCTAGCTCCTACTACAGAGTTTTTGCCTCAGATGCGTGCGGCATGTAGCCTACACCACATCATGTGCTGTGCTCCATGTGGTCGTAGAAATCATTATCCATACTTCGCGATGGCCAGTTGCGTGACCGACATTCATGTACCTTCAACATGTACTAGCTATGCTGAGGTATTGCCAAACGAGAAGTCCAACATCTCTTAGCATTCAGTTTAAGATAACCATGAAAAGCACATGCACTAGCGTCGAGTAAGTCAAAGGTAAGTATACATTGTGATAGCATCAAACACTAAACTTTGAAAGCAAAAAGCAAAGCATGATAAAACAAATATTAAAAACTTCCTCCCAAGATGGTCTACTTCGCGTTCTCCCTGGACATGAAATAGCTTGGGAAGATGCCCATCAGCTCTTCGAGGTACCAGTAATTCCCCGAAAGTTCATCCAGAGGACCTTTGGCTTTCTTTCCGCGTTTTTCGTTAGACTTCTTCGGCGTCTCATTCTCCTCGCGCACGATCTGCACCCATAACCCTCCAAGTCCCATCCCGAGGCTCAGCGTATCGACTACGGCAGGCTCCAAGACCAGGACGATATCGTCCTCATATGGATTGTGCGGCTTTCCGGGGCCGCTGCCTTCAACCTCGCCGTCAGGCATGACCACTGCACCGCGGGAGGTCTTGCGAATGAATGGCTTTGGAATATCGCTCTCCTCTCTTCCCCACGGGCTCATGACAACCCGCGCAAACCTCCGCTCTAGCTCATCCTCCACCATTTCCGCTGCGTCACCCTTGATCTTTGCCTTATCCTTCGGGGGCAGGTGAATCGCTTTAATACGGCGCGTGGAGGACTCCACGACTCCTGTGCTGTGCGTCAGTGGGAAAGAGGTGGGACCCAGGAGAGACGTGAGCGAGGGCGGTGGGGAAAGCCAAGAGGGCTCAGTCACTTCGGGTGCAAATGAGAGTGGGGCGGAGTCCGCACCCCATTCGTCATTGTCATCCGCAGGGCCCCATTTGCCGCCATCGCCGATGGTACCCCAGGTGTCAGAACCTACAGAACCCCAACCTCCAGTGTCGCCCGTTGCACCCCACCCGCCGGCAACAGTGTCTGTTGTGTCTCCAGACCAGATGTCGGGTGGTGCGGTGGTGATAGGGGCGATGGTGTTGGCATTAGCGACGAGGGCAGTAGTGCGCATGTTAGTAACCTGGATCTCCATGTCAACATTGTCCTCGATGGCATCTTTAAGTGCCGTTTCCTCCGTATCTGGGAGAACGATCTCCGTTTCAGTACCATGCTGATCGGTAACAGTAATAGTCGCATCGACTGAAAATAGAATTTCAACTCATCGATAAGCCATCACATGTAGATGGCTGATATTACCTGGAGCAGGCTGATCAGTTGCATTTAGGTGATCGTCAAAGGACCATTCAATTCCGCCTTTGCGGCCAAAGCATTCCTTGCAGCCATCGCTGAACACGTCGGGTAACGCCTGCCCGATCTTGTATGTCAGAGGCAGCTCCTTCTTCGCGAGCTCCACAATATCAAGGGCACTACGGATGCCGCGTTCATGCAAGGCTTTTGGGAGGACGCGGTTCCGCAGGACAAAGTTCAGGAAAAAGCTGA